CTGCGCCACCAGGGAAGCCCTGCTTCTCTCTATTTTTAAAAAACTATTTCAGTTAGTGCAGGTGCTTCCCTTCTAGTCACACAGGAGTGAAACCTCAAAGTCATTTCTGACTCCCCTCCCCGCTCATCTCACATATCCAATCAATTAAGTGCTAGTGATTTGACTCCAAAATACCTCTCAACCCGTGCCCTTCCTTTCCATTTGACAGTTACTATCCTAGTTTTCTGGTCTCATGACCTCCTAACTGATCTTCCAGCCATAACCTCGTCCTTCTTTGATCTGCTCCTTATGTCAACTTTCTGAAACATCAGAGTTAACTTTCTGAAAAACGGAGATTATTTTCCTCTCCCGCTTCAAAATAACTGACGGCTCCCTAGCGATCACAAAAGCAAGTCTGAACTCTCCAGGCAGGCTTTCAAGGCTTCTCTCCACGTTGCGCTCGCACTCACCCACTCCTCCTGCAGGCTCCTGTTACCTCAGCCCTGACCGCTCTGAACACATTCCTGCTTCTGCTCTACCCTGTGACTATCCAGTCTTTAGTCTGTTTTGCTGATTCTTTGCTCGCTGCCTCTTACACGACAGGTGTTTGCTCTATTGCAGATGAGAATAAAAATTAGCTCTGCCTACTGGCCTGTCGTGGTCAGCAAGGTCTCGCACTGCCTCAAAGTCAGTCATGGATTAAGAGCCCATATTGATAATCCTGAGTTAGGGAGGGGCTGGCAGTGAGGGAGGAGAAAGTCTCTCTACATTTTTTCGCAGCAGAGAAGCACTGGATTCTGTGTTGGGAAGGAAAGCACAGTGTTCTCCATTCCTATGTAAAACTCTCCTAGAATTCTATAGTGCAGATGTCTTCCCAGGTGAATGGTATTTCAGTATTTTCCCCATTTCAGTGAATGGCAAACTGAGGTCTAGGAGAGGCTGAGCTCTGAGTCAGGCTCCCCTCCCCAAAAAGGGCGGCAGTCGTCCTGTGATTCAAAGAGAGAGAGGCTATAAGGATAGCACCTCCCGATTGGCGCAGACTGAGTCAGACAAGCTTGGGGGCTGCTGATTGGCTCCGGGTTGATCAGGCGCTGTTGGGCTGTTGTAAATGTAAATAGCCCTGTGACCGGCAGTAACCCCGGTGAGAGCGGGTGGAGAGGGAGGCTCTTCCTCTCCATTCACGTCTGCGCCCTGACAGGCCCAGGCAGGCCGGCCCTTTAGCGGGGGGGCTGGGCAGGACAAGGCTAGCGCTTGTATGTTCGGAGATCTTAAGCTTGAGCTGAGAGCTAAAACACTCGCCTGCAGGCCCGAGCCAGGGCTGGCAGCTTCCACACAGAGCTGCTTCCTTTCTGCTCTCAGCTTTGACTGTTTAAGACAGGTTAATGGAATGTTCTGTGTGGGGACGGAGGTGTTGGAGGGCGCTAGGAGGGTTGTTTTATGGGGTAACATAAATGGCTGTGGTGGTGTGCCACAGGGAGATGGAAGCTTGCCCTCCTCTGTTTCCTGGTCACAGAATCCTGTTTGTTGAAAAGGCAAGAGCAGAGGCAGAGCATAAGGCCAGAGGGGATCCTGCTGCCCAGGTTTGTGTGTTGATCGTCTTTCTTCTAGAGGTGCAGCTTCTCCTACCCTCTACTCCAGAGGAAAGGGAAGTCTGTTGGGACAGGCTTTCTTGGAAGTAGGGAGCAGGAAAGGAACAAATGTGTACATGTTAAGAATAAAGGGTGAGGACTGCCCTGGTGGCGTCGTGGTTAAGAATCCTTCTGCCAATTCAGGGGACACGGGTTCGAGACCTGGTCTGGGAAGATCCTACACGCCGCAGAGCAACTAAGCCTGTGCACCACAGCTACTGAGCCTGCGCTCTAGAACCCGCGAGCCACAACTACTGAGCCGCGTGCCACAACTACTGAAGCCCGAGTGCCTAGAGCCCATGCCACTGCAATGCGAAGCCCACGCACCGCAATGAAGAGTAGCCCCCGCTCACCGCAATTAGAGAAAGCCCGCGCGCAGCAACGAAGACCCAGCGTGGCCAAAATAATATAATAAATAAATTTATTTTAAAAAATTTTTTAGAAAAAGAATAAAGGGTGAACTTCACACATTGCTGGTGGGGAATGCTGCAGCCACTGTGGAAAACAGTTTGGTGGTTCCACAAAGAGTTAAATGTGGAATTGCCGTATAACCTAGCAATTCCACTCTTAGGTATAAACCCAAATGAATTGAAAACAGGTACTCAACTACTTATACACAAGTGTTCATAGCAACACTATTCACAATAGTCAAAAGGTGGAAGCAACTCAAATATTCATCAATGATCAATAGAGAGAAACCAGTTGTGATATATTTATGCAATGGTATATTATTTGGCAATAAAAAGAAATGATGTAGTGATACATGCTACAGGGTGGATGACCCTCGAAAGCATTATGCTGAGAGGAGGAAGCCAGACACAGAAGGTCACGTATTGCAGGATTCCATTTATATGAAATATCCTGAATAGGTAGATCCATAGAGACAGAAAGCGGACTGGTGGTTGCCAGGGCCTGGCGGGAGCAGGGAGTTGGCGAGTGGCTGTGGAACAAGTACAAAGTCTTCTTTTGGGGTGATAGAAAGTTTTCGGAACTGGATAGAGGTGGCGATTGCACAACGTTGTAAGTGGACTAAAATGTCACCAGATTGTTCACTTTAAAATGGCTAATTTTATGGTATGTGAATTTTACTTAAAACATATGTATATGAGACAAACAAATACAAAGACCGAAGGGTGAGTCCTTACTGCTGTTCAGAATTCTCTGAGGATCCCGACTGTGGTGAGGAGCAATCTGCCCTTTCACTTTCCCTTTCCTCTGGTTGGTCACAAAGTTCTAAAGCCTGGCCTGACCCTGGCTGCTCCCTGCTCCTACGGGAGAGGGCCAGCAGGAGAGGGCCCCTCGGGCCCCTCAAGACAATCCTAGCTTGGAAGCAGAAGCGCCGCGTGAGTCAGCACAGCAGACACTTGGGCTTTGTGAGCTCTCTGTGGCCTGGGTGCAGCAGGCAAGGCAGGCCCGGGCGGGGGAGGGGCAGGCTCGGGTCCCGAAAAGGGGAAGGCTGTGCCTCTAGCAACCCCAGTATAGAATCTCAGCTGCTTGGAACCTGCAATTAAGGCCTGTGGCATTTGCCCCAGAGTCAGCATGCAAGAATCAGCACTGTGCCCGTGGCTTAGTAAGTTACTATAGGTCACAGAATGCAACCCCACTCCCTGTGACACTTCACACAGTTTGTAGCAGAGACAGAATTCACAAGACATGAGATCTTTCAATAATTTTATCAAGCACTGATTGTTCAGGTGCAGGAGACATTTCTAAGAGAAGATGCCCTTAAGGATTTCAAAACAACGTGACAGTAGGGTGGAGTATGGTTTGCATAAGTATAGAGGAAATGTCAGCTATGCTTCTATGGTCTGAGAGCTTAAAACTCATGGGTGGTTGAATGTTTCAACAGGTCACAAGGGGAGTGAGTGGGTTCTTCTGGATCAGAGGATGTGTCTGCAATTTGACTGAATAAATTAAGCTCCCTGCCATTGCAGCCAGGCTTTGCCTCTGAGTATAAGTGAATATCACTGGGCATCTACTTGCATATATGAGATTTATGCACTCTCTGGGTTTATCTAATTTGTCATCTACTTCACACCCATACGGAGAGCAGTTAATGAGCAAAGTTCTGGAGCTGGATCACAGCATCGTTGCTCACTCCCTCACAGTGTATTTTCTCTCCCAGTGAATTCAGTTCCCTCATCAGTAAAACTGGGGTAATAATAGCACCTGCTTTCCATACCGTGAGATAATGCGCTGTGCAGCACTCACTACAGCGCCTGGCTATTGTGAACGTTATCACTGCGTCCACGGGTCTGGTGGACTCAGAGGTTGGATTTCCTGCATCAGAAGGTTGTGGGGGTTCTGTTGATGCCTGGCCTCAATCCCTCTATCTAATGTAGAACACGGTACATATATGGATTTTTCCAAGCAATCTGGTATCACAAGTGTATCATGTAGACTTGCTATGGTTTAGAGCAGCTGTCCTTTCTCATGTGGCTGGTGTCTTTGTCTCCAAAGACAAAGGAGAGACTTGGAAGGAACAGTGCAATTATAGAACAACAGAAAAAATGGTCCAACCTGAACATTTTAAACAAAATAGAGGGAAAGGGGTGGAAGGCCAGATATTAAGCAAGTGCCACCGTCAACTTATTAAGGTCCGGCAAGGCCTCAATGAATATAGACTTGATGTTGGATGCTCAGAATCACTCTGAGAGAATCTTGCTTCTTGTCCAAGGTGAGGGTAACCTTACATTAGAAAGTGAGGGGGGCTGGTTCTGTGGAATGCTTAGAAGCCCAGGCATTGTCCAGGTGGCTTCTGTTGAAAAATGGAACTTCTTCAAACTGTAAAAAGTCCTTCTCTTTTCCACGTGAAGATTCTCAGATAAGGTAGTAAAAGCTAAAGCCTTTTCCACCTAATGATCATGAAGCCCTCTCTACCCCAAGAATTTACAAGGCTTCCCTGGGATTGTTTTTCCTGTCTTCCTGCTGTTGTTAATCAGCACTTTCAGGAAGCTACTCTATTAGCGGGAGGGATTACATTTCAGAGGAATGACCTGGATGGCCCAGCCTGGGTTGCCAGGCACAGGACTGCTTTCCAGAGTGTCTCCTGCTGCTCCCTTCCTCTCTTAGTATCTCTGTTTTGGGTCCATGTGACCATGGGACACACAGGAGTCCTGACATTTCCCCAGGCCCAAAGTGCCAGCTGGTGTTAATGTGTTTGATCTAATGGCAGCAGACTACTGGCTTCCTGTTGCTAAGGCTGAGTTTAACCTAAAGTTACCCCTAGGGAGGGCAGGAGGGCAGGGCGAGTTACTGGGATATGAGTCAACCATTGTGGCTTCTTGTACTTCTTTTTTACTCTTAAAGATGTAGGAACAGGACATAAATAGGGTGGTGAATAAATCCCAAGAGACTGAATCACAGCCAAAAGAACTCTCAAACACAGGGCAATCAGATTCACTTCACTTTTATTAGGAACAAACACAATCTCAGATCAGTACAACTAGCTTCAGAGTTGATATTAATAGAAATTATTCCAAAATTATTCTTAGGTCACAAATAACTACTATCCCACATAAAAAGGGAAAAATCCCACCCAATCAAGGAAAAGGTATCCTGTGTATGTTTCCATGGCAACGAGTTTATGCATTCTCAGATTTTTGTCTGGCTAGTTATCCACCACTTATCTAATGGGTTTATTCAATCTCTCAGAGAGAACCATATAGATCCATGATAGCATCCAGGACACGTGGTTCATGGTGGACACAGTTCACGGTGGATACTGCTACTATAAAAATACTCAGGACTTAAGAGAATTCCTTTGCTGAAGGATCCCAAAATGCTTTATAAAAAGCATTAGTCACGCCTCAAAACTGCCCTTTGAGGTAGGTCAGTATTATTATCTCATTTTAACAGAAGGAAAACCGAGGCACATTATAGTTAAATGACTTGCCCAGGGTCACACAGCAAGTCTGTGGCACAGTGGTAGGAGAGGCCCTGGCCTTAACCACCCGTGTAACCTTGACATCGTGCTTTCTTTAACTTTTCACGCTGACCCATTTGAGCTACACTTACAGAGAATACACTCAGGATACTAGCTAACTAGGAGAAAAAGTTTCCATTTTAAATGCTACAACCATCTTTTAATATTAAAAAAAAATTATAAGTCAAATACATTCAAATTCCTTCCACCCTCCATCATATGTGGGCAATTAATAAAAACAGCCCTAAGGAAAGTTTCCAAAACAAAGTCCAGAAGGGAATCCTGCAAACAGCTATACTGATAATTCTCCAGCCAGGCCCCCTTTTCTACTAGCCACTTCTGCAGGCTCTCAGGTGCAAAAGAACTCCACAGAGGGAGCAGGGAGGAAGCAGAGCAGGCTCAGATGCAACACTGATTAAAAAAGATGTAAGGCACCCAGATAAGTTGTCAGCACGCCCACAAAGCAAGGCCTGTTAGAAACTGGACCCCATCCAGCCTGTGTAGGGTCATGGTATAGATCAGGTCCATCGAACACAATTAGAATAGAAAGATAAAAGTTGGTTTTGATCATCAGGTGTAAAGCAGGCCTCTGATGACCTGTGGAATTAAAACTACCCCACAGGCATTTCCAAGGGGTAGGTACTTGGGTCAGTGGATCTAAACTACAGTGATCTTCCATTAGATTTTTTTTCTACTGAGAGGAACAGCTCAAAAGACAAGGATGCCTTTAGTCCAGCCCAACCCCTGTGGCCTCCATCTATTCAATTCATACAGAAAAAAATGCTCTCCTCCCTTCCATCCTTGGGGCTCAACAGTGGACAGAGCATTTGGTACTATACATTTCCAATCTTAACAGAGTAAAGCCAGGCTTCTGCATTGACGACTGAGGTTACAGGGACAGGAGTGGCCCAAGGTTCTCAGACACTGATGTTTCTTCAGAACTCCTCTATACTATTGTCTGCCCTAGGCTGTGTTGTGGGGAATGCTGGTTAGTTTGCTGAACAGAGACACTGTTCAACAAAGTTCATGGCATCTCACATCCCAAGTCTCAGCCAAAGCTTTGCTGTATACCCTGGCTCCAGGGGCCGGGGCCTCCTTTGGAGTGAGGCACTTTGGAACTTGCCTTTGCTTCTTGTGCTTCCCAGTGAAGACTTGGCTCCTCCTACTTCTGCAAGCCTTGCACTGTCAGCTGGGAGCACTGACTCAGGCTGGGCAGGCTTACTGAGTAAGCAGGAGGCATCCAGCATCCTCTCTGGTTCTGACCAGACACTGGAGACTAAAAACAAACGCTCTTTTGCTCCATGGCTGGCTCACTGGCACAACATGAGCATTTGGCTTGGCTGTGCCTCATGAGAGAGAATGCCTGTGCCCAGGATGTCTCCAGCGGGGTTTGCTAGCCTTGTCTTGAGTCATCAGTGTGGTGGGGAAGCACAAGGGTGTAGGTGGAGACTCTGGAGGCCAAGTGAAAGTGGCAGCTCGTTCAACTTTATAAAGAGAAACAGTGGTTCAGCTACCCTGAGCATACTGTCTGTAGGAGAGGGAGCTGCCTGGACCACAGTAGCCATCACTGCCCCTGAATACACACAAAGGAGGCTTGCCTATCCAGAGAAAGAAGGAAACATTGGGGAGGAGATAGAACTGGCAGGAGAAAATGGACAGACAGGGCAGAGCCAGGAATCCATAGTCAGGGTAGTCAAGAGATTCCTACCCCACCCCCCAAGCAGTCCTATACTTTAGGCTAGAAGTTAACAGAGAAGGAAGAGTGAAAGGGTTCAACACTGTGGGGAGAAGCCTTCTAGTTCTTTCTCAGTCCAAGGAGAAATTGAAATTAATGAAATGAACCCAACATCTAACTTGTTTGTATAACCAGCTTCCATATTAGGACACCCAATAACTTACTCAGTAACCTTCCAAATCCCCCAGCAGTGTGTTCTCAGAGCCCTTCTTTTGTAATGTTCCCTCTTAGGAACTGCCTACAGACCCTGCCCCTCAACCTCTCCATCTCCTGTCCAGCAGCGAGAGGAAAGGAGACAACCCGCCTGATTCTTCCTCTTCTTCAAGCCCCACTCTCCTTCAGAGGGAAATACTCTAAAAGGTTTATTTTAATATTCCAAGCAAAGTACCCATGGACATACAGCTCTATGTTTGACCCAACTCCACCTCCGAAAATCCTTTCTTTTTTGGGAGGCAGCTATGCTCACCACTGTACCACCAACACATCTTTTTTGGATGTCTCAAAATGCTGAAGCCACCTTATTACTATGAGGGGAGCTGACCAATGTACCAAAGATGGCACAGCAGAAAGATGAAAGAATTTTGACGATTCCGTGAGCTGCTGGAATCACCAATTCTGGAAACAACCAAGCCTCAAGATTTCTTGTTATCTGGAATAAGAAATCTTCCTGTCATGAAAGAAAGAAAAAAAATCCTTCCCCGGCAGAGCACTTTTACCATAAACTAAATGCTTCTTCTTTATCCTCAGCCTAAAGTAGATTGGGACATTGAGATTTGCTTTTGAGTTCTAGCATTGCCAAGCTCCACGGCCATTCCCCAGTCAGAGTCAGGAGAGAAAGGAAGCATGCTGGGTGGTGGGCAGGCAGCTGGGTGTCAGATCACAGCAGGAGCTTCCTGCCTTGTTTCCCACGTCAACTCATCCTTACTTATCAATCATATCATGCATGCTAACTCTCTCCCCTGACAATTTACCTGCTTTCAAAGCTTTGTGCCAATAAAGTTATTTTTCCATTTCATATAGCAAAAGCCTAAGCTGAAGCTAACTGGGGGCCTTCCCAGACGATTTTGTCATATCTCTAGCTTGAGCCACCCACCTTAGAGCTCAGGACAGCTCAAGGAAAGGGTTATCTGGGGCAAAGGCCACTAGTTTTGGACCCTAGAAAGGTTGTCTAGGCTTTGGAAGCTGGAAACCCACCAATGACTGACCAGCTGCTTGCCTGGGGGGCATTGAGGGGGAAGAGAAAGGACGGTGATAGGAACAAAACAAAGGGAAGGATAATGGGACTAGAAGAGAAAGAAGAAAAGAAAAGAAATAAGAACATGAGCTTAGCATCATAAAGGCAGAGTTGTTGGCTTTCAATTTTAAAAGAAAATTTAAAAGAATACTGTACTGGAATGGGTTAACGTCATCATCTTTAGCATCCTGGTAGCATTATTCAGTAGTTAATAAACAGAACATTAAACCTCTGCCCAGCTGGCTTTTGGAAAAGGAAACCGAGGGACCCCAAATTCAGCCACTCTTGTAGCTTTCATCTCCAGTTCTTTTAATCCTGGCCAAGACGGCAGCCTTGGATACTTTCTTTCGGTCATAAGCCAGACCGATGGCAGCCATGCAATCGATGAAGAATGTGGTAAAGTTGATGTGCCAGCGGTATTCACTGGCAGAGTAGTCATAGGGAAAGGAGTGGTGGTAGTTGTGGAAGCCCTCACCTGGAACAAAGCAGAGAAGAGTTATGGAGCTACACTGGGTTGCTGGCTTCTTGATCTTGGCACTCTGGTTACCTGGAGGAGTACCTCAAACGTAGTAGAAACCTGCCGCTGTTGAATGAATGAATGGACGAATCCAGTCTTTTAAACTCTGAACCCAACAGATTCCCTCAGAGGCATCTTAAGAAAGGACTGGGGAGACCCTGGTCACCATGGCTCTCTGGGAGCCTTTGTGGGAGGAGGACGGGCAGTTTCTGAGAGGATAAGATGATTTGAGAGAAACTTCTATCACTGGGAGTGGATTTTAGACTGGAAAATTCCAGAGCTTCACTACATATTGGTATGAGACCCTAGAGGCTCTGTGTGTATGTGCATGTGTTAGAGTGGGGAGAGGAGAGAGTCCAGAATGAAGAACCTTTGCTGTGTTTCTTACAAAGGTGAGCAAAGGAGTACACCTTTCCCCACTGCATGGGGACTCTCTCCAAGGGTGGAAGGTACCAACAGAATTGGGCAGCAACAGTCAAGTCAGAAGAAAGAAGGCCCAGCCCATGGGCCCGAGTTCCTCAGCCTCCACTAGTTCAGAGTAGACTGCTCTGGCTTCTAATTCTTTGAGCTTTGACCCTGGTGTGTGGGTGAAGCTGATAAAACAGAAGCTCTCTGAGGGAATAAGAATCAAAAGGCTTAGGTAGTCCCTCTAAGATTCTGAGATGAGCAGTTCACTTTGCTGGATAGAGGAAAATCAAAGAGATTCTGGATTCAGGATAATTTCTGTAATGCATCAAGCTGTGGAAACTCCACAGACAGAGAGTTCTCTAATCCGCGGCAGGATCTTCTTTCTGAACCTCATTCAACAATAACAATACCGACCCTTATGAGGCTGGGGTAAAGCTGGGTAAAGAAGAGCTAATAGGGACTTCCCTGGTGGCGCAGTGGTTAAGAATCCGCCTGCCAATGCAGGGGACACGGGTTCAAGCCCTGGTCCGGGAAGATCCCACATGCCACGGAGCAACTAAGCCCGTGCATCACAACTACTGAGCCTGCGCTCTAGAGCCCCTGAGCCACAACCACTGAAGCCCGCGTGCCACAACTACTGAAGCCCAGGCACCTAGAGCCCGCGCTCCTCCGCAACAAGAGAAGCCACCACAATGAGAAGCCCACGCACCGCAACGAAGAGTAGCCCCCGCTCGCTGCAACTAGAGAAAGCCCGCGCACAGCGACGAAGACCCAACACAGCCAAAAATAAATTAAAAAAAAAAGAATAGCTAGTAAAAGAGTGTGCTAAGCCCTTTGAAGATGAAAGAGCCCCAGTAGAGTAATAATGGCATTAATAACCAAAAAGGAAGGAAGTCCTGCGATGGGAAAGACACCATCCAGGGCATCACCTCAAGGTACGTCCTTTCTCTGACTATCCACAGTGCGGATCATCAGTTTATCCAGTGTGAAGTGAGTAGGAGGGTAGGAAAACCCCAAGGCTAAAGGTACTGATGGAGGATTACTAATTTCCATAAACGACCTTGCAGCTAGGCTCTGTATAAACACTAGCCAGGCCCACACATCAGATTTAAACTGAATCAGACACACACACGTTGCCAAGGGAGGAAAAAAAGAGGAGGAAGGTCAGTGGGCGAAAAAAGGACGAGACTTTGCAACTGGGGCAGCAAGATACAGCCCAAAAGAGGCTCAAGGGGTGAGGCCAGCTTTAGCAGAGAGAAGATGAGCATGTGACTGCGGGGGGAGGTAATTCAAGAAGAAAAAGATTAGAACGGCAGGGCAGCAGGCTACTGGAGAACAAAGGGTGAGGTGATAAGCGGGGAGAGCAGGTATGGAGGAATGATAAGAGACAAAGTAAGCTACTGGCAGCCACTTTGAATGGGTGGTCATTGGGGCTGGGGAAGACAGATCTGTTTGCAGGACAGGACCGATCTCATTCCAGAAACTTCCATAACGTTCATTAATTTTCTATGAAAATAACCTGTATGATTGATTTCAAACATGGTTCAGAGTAAGAACATGGACAACAGTACAAGGTGTCTGAAAGGAGGGGGAAGGTGCATGAAAGTTAAAAAGAGATGAAAAAATGTCTTTAGTGCAGATAGTAAAAAAAGATGGTCAGGGTTGAGAATATAAAGGAGGGTTTTAAAGAGAACAAAACGAAGGCTAGGCCGTGGCGTACGTAAATGTGTGGAGCAGGGAGGTTGCCTCGATATGCTGAATGACCAACAGTACTGATGACTGGTGTAGAAGAGGCCATGGGGTCTGCTTAAGGAAATCTAATTCCAGGCCTTAGTCAAGGTCTATATTTAGTTGAAAAGAGTGACGGACAAAAAAAAAAAAAAAAAAATGGAGACAGACTGTAGAACCCTGTTGTCTTAGACTCTGGCTATTGGAACTGGAATGGTATAAATAAATTCTTGAATAGTCAGCATTAGATCAGTGAGCAGGTACTTGTGATCAAACTAGCTGCGTTACTGGGAGTTCCCTAAGCCACGCTGAGGGGAGGGAGTGTTCCCAGCACAGAAGAGGAGCAGAAGAGAGAAAAATAAAGGACAAGAGATGAGAATGGTAGGTGGTGATAAAGGGCCACCAACAGTTGCTTTGATGTCCTTCATACTCGCATCACCAAGCAATAAGGCATGAAATACACTTCAAGTATGACCTCTCTGAAAATAGCAAGGTGACAGAAGAGAAGCTTATTGAATTAAATGACAACTATTTGTTCTACATGTTGTATAGCACGTCTAAATATAAAACACTAGGCTTACAGCCACCCAGATCAGAGATGACTGGAAAAAGGGCAACCCAAAGGGGATCATCATACATAGCATTTGGGGATTGTGCTGGAACCTGGAATCAAAGGCATTGTTATTTTTCACCCTTTTCTCATTTATTTATTTAGTTTTGGCTGTGTTGGGTCTTCGTTGCTGTGCGTGGGCTTTCTCTAGTTGCGGTGAGCAGGGGGCTGCTCTTTGTTGCAGCGCACAGGCTTCTCATTGCAGTGGCTTCTCTTGTTGCGGAGCACGGCCTCTAGGTGCGCGGGCTCAGTAGTTGAGGCGCACGTGCTTAGTTGCTCCGTGGCATGTGGGATCTTCCCCGACCAGGGCTCTAACCTGTGTCCTCTGCATTGGCAGGCGGGTTCTTAACCACTGCGCCACCAGGGAAGTCCCTCACCCTGTTCTCTTTACATAGGACTTGCTGCTTAATTCTCAAGGATTTTTAATATTGCCCCTTAGTTTTATAGTGTAAAGACAGAGAGGGGTCATAAAACAGGTGAATCTGGTTCTTCTGGCTCCTAGCCTAATACTCTAAGCTGCAGACCACTAGATGTGACTTACCTACAGCTCCCAGTGAAACCAGGAGATTCTCTCGGGGGTTAATGGTCTTGTCATAAGGGCGGTATCCGTACAGGTGGGCAGCACTGTTCACCAGCCAGGTGGCATTGAGCACAACGGCATAACGCAAGAAGGTGGCGACTAACAGGCTGTGTGGAAAAGTTTCACCCCAGCAGTACCAGGGCACGAGTGTGGGCAGGATGAAGCACATCAACAGGACAGCAGGTTTGTAGTACCTACATTGAGAGATCACACACCCGGTCAGTGGAGAGAGGACCCTGAGACCTACCTGATTTTCTATTCTCACACGGTTGGGCTGTCTCTTTCTTTCTACATTGTGAGCACAATGTGGCAGGAAACAGAGCAAGAGGGATTGGGGTGGGAAATCTTCTGAGAATGTTGTGTTATTATCATACTTCTTAGATGAGGTAATGAGGGGTTAAATGACTTTTCTAGGGTCACACCACCAGGAACTGGTGGAGCAAGGATTGGAATGCTTTGTCTCCTGACTCTAAATCCATTGCTCTCTCACTACAGCATAATACCACTTTGGTAAAACAGGTGGGGTCCAAGTTACAGACTGAGTTCTCCTTCCCGGGTTTTTCCATTCTGCCTTTGGGCTTCCTTTCTCTTTATCAGTGCTCTTGGCAGAATCTATGTTTAGTATCTTGCCTCCATCTCCTGCTAGCCAGGAATCCTTCTCATCCTTCCTCTTCTTTTCCCTCAGAGAGGCACTCCAAATGTCCTAGATGCCTGCAGGTCTGTCCCTCTGGAGGCCCTGTCCCATTCTTCATTCTCCCAAATGTACGGCAGGCCATTGACATTCCGAGGGAGCTGGTTTCCTATACCCCTTCAGCAGTCAAGTCTGATCCTCTTGTATCATTAATAACCCCTGCTTCCAACTCCTCTC